GCCATTGTGTGCAACATTGGACACTTCGACAATGAGATCGCAATGGAGGACTTGGAGAACTTCCCTGGCATCAAGGTCGAGAACATCAAACCACAGGTGGATCGCTTTGTCTTCCCTGATGGCCACGGTGTGATTGTGTTGGCATCTGGCCGACTGGTGAACCTGGGCTGCGCCACTGGCCATCCATCCTTCGTGATGTCATGCTCCTTCACCAACCAGGCACTGGACTTGAATGTGCTTGCAGCCATGTCTTTCCTCTTGATGCTGAATTGCCACAGGTCTTGGCCCAGCTTGACATCTTGGAGAATTGCACCAAGGCCGGCTGCGACTGTTTGCAGTTATATGATGTGACTCACCTTGTCATGTCCATTGACAGATTGCATGGGCTTGCCGCTAGGCGAAGAATTACAAGAACGACGTGTATTTGCTGCCAAAGACACTCGGCGGGACATCTAGTCAACACCCAGTCGTGCAACAGCTTGACTAGAATCGTTTTTGGGATTCAACTATCTAGAGTTTTTGCCCTTGGTTTCTTGATGTTTCTTGACGTTTATCAATGTTCCCTCAGGAAGCTTGATGAGAAGGTGGCAGCTCTTCACTTGCCGGCCTTGGGCGCCAGCCTCACGAAGCTCTCCAAGGAGCAGGCCGAGTACATTGGCGTGAAGCCTGAAGGCCCAAGGATATGGGAGCGCCAAAATGTTGAACATGGTAAAAGATAGTTTAAGTAACATGCAAAAACCCTTCGCCTCAATCATCAGTGGCTCTGTTGCAGGTCCTTTCAAGATGGACCACTACCGCTACTAAACCAGCGAGGTGTGCTTGCCGGCCGTCCACGGCCAACATTCATCTTTCTCGATCCGTTTTGCGTGTCCACCTTGGCGACGTGTCTGATGCATGGATCCCGAGGGTTGGCGACCAGCAGAAAAGAATGAGTTCAGGCTCCGGATCAATGAGATAGAATGGAAAATCTGCTCACTTGGGTATTGAATGAGGAATATTGGCTCCCGAGCCAGCTTGATGTCAGAGTTGGGGATGTGCTGTTTTGGTGCGCCGGGTATTCAGTATTGTCCAGGTCTGCAGTGTGCAGCTGTCCTGCCAGGAGCTTCTTAATCTTTGGAATCGTTTTGTATTAGTCATCATGTCATCCGGAAATGAAGAGATCCAGCTGGAAATCCGAAACGCATGCCACACCAGTGCTTGAACATTTTGCCCTCCCCTCTGACCAAAACGCCAAGCGAGCAGCAGTGTGTTTGTTGATCTTCAGTGTTTTCATTGGTCCATTTCAGGGAAAAGGCAATTTTTTCATGCTATACATCAGGTAAAGACCCCGGGCATTAAAATCACTCGTTGATGCTTTTTCCTTTCGACAACCTCACACAGATAGCTATTTGATGGCGCTGATGCTGTACTTTGGTCTTTCATCACAACTACTGTAGGCCCCCAGCTGGTCTAGAGCCGCAGGACGAAGGAAGAAGCCAAGCTTTGACGATCCTATCGATCTGTGCAGTCCCTCGAAGCAACTTGAGGAGATTGAGGAAAAGCTGCAGGCGTGTCTTTCCTTGACAAGAAATGTAGCAAAAGAAACGTAGCTTGCCCTTCCATGCATGCCCTTTGTACTTGCTTTGTCTTGAAATCAAGAGCGTGGTTGCACATACTCGAGATATTATGCGTTCGGTTTGAATGATGCTTGGCCTGAAGTTGCCTAAGTGTGTCAAGAGGCCTGGAGAGACAGGTCGAGGTGTCGTATGAAACGAGGTCCAAACATCAAAGGTGTCATTTGGATCTCAAATGTTTCCAAAAGTTCATTCCAGACTTCTAAATGGACACTGATCGAGTGCACATTTGTCGACCTCAAGTCCACTTGAACAGCCTGGTAATGTAGAAGAGAGCGCGGTTACGGAACGTCACAACCAAGTTGAAGCTGCAGCTACAAGAGTTGGCATCCCAACTCTCTTGAAACTGATTTCCTGAACTTCGTTCGAAAACAGATAGGACAACAAGCACAACAGTGCCCCCGGCATTCTTTAGAAAAAAAGGCACAACAGTCAAAAGGCTCCCTGTGATTCCAAGGGTTACCACGCAAACACTGTGGTTTAGCGTTGTACTCCACTACTTGGAGGATTGCAAGTGACAGATACCAGAGTTTTCTCGATACATTAGGTGGGTGCAGGCACAGTTTCTGGGTCTCTAAAATTAGAAAACATGCAGACCAAGCTTAAACAATGCCAAGCTGGCCACAGCGGGGATTAAGCGGGAACTACATTTGGATTTGGAAGTCTCAACAGAACGGAAGACAAGTGAGCGCAAAGAAGTGTGAATTATATGAAAACATTCCTTCTCACGGTCGCCTCAAGTGTAGTTGGACCACTGGTTGCATCCAAACATGCATCGAACAGTGAGGGTGTTATCAAGGTGTTTGTTCTAGTTGGACAGGACATGCTACATGCTGATTGGCTTGGTGCGGGACTAGAATGGTGTCCTAATTTCCTGCAATTGAAGATAAACTTAACTTGCCTGATTCCTGTTTGTTCCCTCTAGTCATTCAAGTTGAACAATTATCGTATACTTTGCTTGGTTTCATTGCCTGTGAATAATGCGGACGAACTTGCAGGTCTACTGGAAGTTTTGTGGAGAGAATGACGACATCGTGCAAGATTGCGCGCAAAGTCTGCAAGAAGAAATGACAAGCTTCAGCTTTTGACAGACTTCAGCGCTGGTGCCTCTGGACCAGAGTCCTGCAGGGCTATTGTAACGGAATGTCTGAGCTTTCTTGATTTCTCGAACAAACCAGCCATGCTTGCTGGCAGCTGCCCAGTTTGTGCATTACTGTGCACAACATTCTCAAGGTCCTAAATCAACATTCAGAAAATCAAAGACAGTTCATGTTTGTATTCTTGGAAGGCGCATTAACAACTGATTGACCAGCAAGCCAACCTCCCAACCAGCAAGATTTGACTGTACCTCACATCTCAAAGACTGAATCGAACTGTCTGTCTTGAAAGCCTCACATCTGGAGAGTTTGGATTCTACAAGGAGGAATTGCTCCAACTGGAAAGACCGACTTGCCATGTCGCTGTCTTCGATCCGAGGGCGGACTGGGGACCCATGGACTGACACCTTGTGCCGCTCCCGCTCCCAGTCACCTGCGCTCCGTGTGCCGCTTCGTGCACCACACCGGGTGCTTCGCAGTGCGCCACACTGGCGAGACAGCCCACTGCTGTGCTCTGGGACACGAGGTGTGCTCCTCTTCTCAGTCCTTCGTTTCACCCGACATGCCCGACAAGAGAAAGGGCAACGGACCGCCAGGGAGGTCGACACCGAGAAGGCAGATCGAGGATTTCGAATCTTGGAGGTCGCCTCATCGTTTTTGGGTGGGCAGAAGTCACTGGTGAAGGTCGCCAAATGGGGAAGCCGCGAAGCTTGGCGAACGATGGTCCGCGAATTGGCTCCTCAATCCCCTGAGGGGGAATACCTTCGTCCAGCAAGCCAGTTGAGGGCAGAGGATACTGATTTAGAGCTTCTGGATCATGGGCATGCTGTGTACTTGGGCAATACCTGTCCATGGTGTCATCGTGTTGCGTTAGCTTTGGCCTTGCGCCAAGTGCCAAACCGCTGTGTGGCTCGGGTGCAGCTGCTGGATGATCCAGAGCGTGCCTCCCGAGGTGGCTGGGCCTTTGATTCTTCCAGGGGCTTTGAGGACCCGGTGTTCCAGGCCAAGGACCTGCGTGAGGTCTACGATCGGGCTGCCGGTGGCTCAGCCGGTTACGTTGGCCGCTGTACTGCGCCCCTACTGGTCGATCGGCAACGGTCCAAAGCGGTGTCCAACGACAGCAAGGAGATTGTCCGGATGATTGTCACCGCAAAAGCCTCTGCCGCGGAGTTGGAACAAGGCCGTCAAGTGGATTTGCTTCCCGAAGAGCTGCGCAACGAAATTGAGGAAACCAATCGTTGGACCTATGACCTACTCTCCAATGCTGTTTATCGTGCAGGCTTTGCGACCAGCCAGGAGGCCTTTGCCCGTGCTTGTCGTGATGTTGCTGAAGGCTTGCAGCGGATTGAGGAGCTGCTGGCAGAGCGAACCTTTTTGTGCGGAGATCGGATCACAGAAGCGGACGTCATGTTGCTGCCATGTGCAGCACGCTTCGATGCTGCGTATGCCAGCCTCTTTCTGCGGGGCTCTTGTGGCCTTTGGCGCGAAGGGCCTCATAGACGACGCTGGCTCCAGCGCTGCTGGGCACTTCCACGCGTGGCAGAAACGGTTGATGTGAGGCGCTGCCAAGAAAGCTATTTCCGGACTCTGTTCCCTTTGAACCCATCTCAGATCTTGCCCGTGCCAAGCTTCAACCCAGATGCTTTGGGGCCCGTGGTTCAGGGCAACTTGGACGAAGACAGCATCTTTCATTGGCGAAAGCTCCGCTGAGATGCACCGAACAGGTGTGGCTTGAAGTTGGCAAAAGTGTTCGTTGAGGCAGCCGGGTGGAAAGATGGAAAGGAGAAATTGCTTGGAGCCAATTCTGCATTTGGCCTTGCCAAAGCCTCCAAACAATGCACCTAGATTTCCCACCGCACTCATGGGGAGGTGAAGTAAGGCGAAAGGAGAGCTGAACGATAGGGGTTCGAGGAGGCGAACCGCAAATCATGAAAGGACGACTAGCTGACAATTAGCTGACGACTAGGACTAGCTGATGCTAGCTGTGACTGGCCCGTTTTTGGTTCCACACCATCGATATACATTATTTTGTTCTTGTCACATCGATTCGCCTGCAGCATTTTCTGTGCTCGTGATAGTCTTGTGGAGTGATGGAGGAGAACGTGCCTCCCTGTGAAGTGATCAAGGCAGTCTCAATCGCCGTTCACCGTTGCGGCAGGACATGTTCAAGACAGGATACCGTACATCGGATGTGTGTTTATGTTAATGTTTGTGCAAGGTGGGTTCATGTGTTGTGAAGGACCTTGAACCCTTTGCCCGTTACGAAAGAAGACTATATACTGAAGAGACACACTGTAACAACGGATTTTCCTTCAACTACTTTTACTGGAATTATATGTCTTTGAAATTTGACTTTTCTGAAGCCGCAGCGCAATATGTTTCCAGCAGTGTGGATTTGCAGCAGCACGGGTGTTTGTAAGCCTAATGTACTGTGGACTAGCAGCGACTAGCACCTTACTTGTATTGTTAGAACCTGGGTGGTCACCCTGTTGAGGAAAGCGAAAGGCATCTTGAGAAGTGAAGGTCCATTCTCCATACTTTGAGCAGAGTAGCGACTGTGTTCGACTGCCGACGAACTCTGCAGGTGAAGGAAACTCCCGAGGCCATGATCCAAGCAAAGCCGCTGCAAGATGCCAGCAATCGGATCTCCTCCAAGGTGAGGGGGTGTAGGAACTGCACACCAGTGGCGAGAAATGTGGCAAGATTGCTTCCGTTGGAATGTACGAGTTCCAAGCAAAGCACCACACAAAGAGGTTGATGTGTGACATAGACGTAGTCAATGATCGTATTGTGTGTGTGCTTTGAGAGCAACTTTTCATCAATAATTAACACACGCACACACTTGAGAAGGTTGCTCCGTGGAGCGTGATTTCAGGTAGCTTCGCGGTGTGCATTAGCCCTTTAAATCTAGATACTGCAGGAAACAACGTATGAGACAGCGTTGCACTGACTTAGAAATCTCAGCGATTGAAAATCAAAATTAGTATTAAAATTGCAGGTACGTCACGGTGATCAGCCGTGATATCCTAGTCAACTGCATGGAGCTTCGTTGGCGACAGCCATGCAGCGACTCTGTCGCCCCCTGCTTCTGTACAGAAAAGCTTGTAGGGTAGATTAGAAAAACTAGGGTAGTGTCCTTGGAAACAGGAGTGGACACACACACTGAGCCGTATCGGCGCAACTAGATCGGATCAGGTAAGGCCTGGATAATAAATAGTGGAAGTGCTTGACATTGAAAGGTTCAATACTGTAAAATACATATCACAGCAGTCTGCGAAAGTGCCGGCACATAGTCTTTTTCCTCTTGGCCGCAGCGCCGCGGCGCATTGTGCTGGTGAATGGCCTTTGGCCATATATAGCTGCATCAACTTCTGTGCGGTCGTGTGGGCGAGATGTTTGGGGTAAGTGTATTTTTGTAGTGTGTGGTGGCGTGATTGGAAGCCTGAAAGGCGTAGTCTGTGACTCCCTGCTGACTGCGGATCACGAATCTGCCAGGAATGGGTGGGGAGTTGGAAGGTGACGGTTCTGTTGAGAGGGTCAATCAAGAAACCGAGTAGATGGTCGTCGTCCACTGGCTCTATTTCAACTGGTTGTTCATAAAATTCAGGATGGGCCAATGTAGTGATGGGGAGTGCTGATCTGTATTGTTCGTTGAGCAAGATGTATCGGTTGTCGACGTAGCGAGTGTTGAGCAAGTGAAGGCTTGGTTGGTGTAAGAAGGTGTGGTATGTGGTTTGCCAAGTGTGTTCGATGAGCGTGATTGCCACATTGCAAAGTGCTGGTGAGAGCTGACTGCCAATGCCGGCTCCTTGAATTTGTTTGTAGTAGGTGTTGCAAGCTTGGAAAATGCATGAGTGAAGGGCTTGTTGAACGATAAGAGGAATGTGTTGTGTGTCAAGTGTGCGTTGTTGTGGGTGGTGGATGTAGTGACGACCGATGTGTGAGTGTTGGATGGGATTGCCGGTAGACTGGACATCGATGGTGATGGTAGTGGTGTTGTGTTGTGCTTTCCAGCGGTTGCACAGGCTGATGACTGCGTCGACAAGGCGTTGTTGAGGTACGCTGTTGAAGAAGCCGACAAGGTCGTCGTTGATCGGTGTGAGGTGGATGTCTTCGGGTGTGGTCTGGAAATGGTTGTGGAGGTGTTGCCAAAGGTTGGGTATAGATAATTGGCCTGGATGTTGTGGTAGAAGATGAAGGAGCATAATGTCTAGTGCTTTGGAGGTGGCTCGTAATAATGTGCCTGCGATTGATCTGAAGTAGCTGATGACGGTTCTACCCTTTCGCCAGGATTTCTTTTGTTTGAGGAAAACTACTCCATGTGGTGTGTAGAATTTTGTGCGGAAGCCCCAGGGGTATGCTTTGCGAATGCTGGCTGGGAAGGATTGTGTGAGAAATTGGTGGAGTTGTTGGGCTGTGAGATCTGGTAGTGGGAGAAAAAGTTGTGGTGTATTCCATGTGGTGAGACATCCGTGGAAGTATTGCTGTGGGCAAAAGAGTCGTAGGTTTTGTAGTTCATGGTCAGCATGATGGAGTACCAGCTTGTCTGTAAGAAACTGTTGAAGCTGTGTAACGTTGCGGGAGGTAAAGCGGGGGGTGTATAGAAGATTGTCGATGTGCTGTTTCCATTGTTGGTGTAGAAAAGGTAGGCTGTGTTGATGGAGGGCAGTGGGTAGACCATGGTGTCGTAGCCAGTAAGTGAGTTGTTGTTCAAAGTGTTGGAAATATTGCGTCTTTGTGGGAAAGAAAGTGCTGTTCATGTTGGCTTGTAGGAATAGCTCAAGATGGCTGGGGAGCTGTAGGTCTTCAAGTGTAAGTACGTAGTGACCATCGTAGAGCGGCGGTGTGTGGTTGGGACGAAGCAAGGTATGCATGTGGTGGCAGCTGCATGGCATGTCAGCGGCTGTGGGATGTGTGGAGAAGAGTTCTTCCCAACGTTTGTGGTTGTAGAGCCGGGAGCGCAAAGTCTTGTGTGCTGCTTCGCGTAGTTTGGTAGTAGGGGGGTGGAAGGGAATGACGTGATGCATGTGGTGTTGGATCAGTGTGCGAAGCCATTTTTCCGTGGAAGACGAGAAGGTATTGTGGGAGAGGAAAGGAATGGTAAAGGGTTTGTTGGCTTTGGGTGGAGTGAGATTGCGAAAGCTGAGCGCTGAGTGGAGAAGGTGAAGAACACGTGATCGATCTGGTTCCTCTAAGCTGGCGGCCATTCGACGGAAAGCGTAAATTTCAAGATCAGTGTATTTGCCGCTGCGGATGGCTGTTGATGTTTGAAAAGATGAAAGTGTATGCTTGCTGAGCTCGCGTAAAACTGTAAGGGCGTGTAGGCGTTGACTTGTGTGAAGGTGGGGTTGCTTGATGGTGTGTTGTCGTCGTCGGAGCCGTTGGAAGAGACGTTTGTGAGTGGACATCCGTGTGAAAGTGGTGCGATGTTTTGAAAATTGCAAACCTGAGGCTTTGAGTTTGAGGTGTCTTTGGATATAGGGCCAATTGAGTGTAGGTTGCCATTCTTGGATCCGCAGGTGTTCGTAGGTCCATGCTTGATCATAGGTGTCGTGATGGGAAAGGTAAATAGTGCTGTAGTGGTGGAGGTTGTTCTTGGAGTGCCAGTAGCGTAGAGAAAGTTCAGCTGAAATGGGGTGGTTATTGTGTAATTGTTTGAGTTTTGCGTGACGATTGTATTCTCGCTTGGGGATAGTGATGCTGGTAGAGCCGATGTATGTATGTCCATGTTGGTGGCACTGGTGTCTTGTGTGATGTTGGTTGAAAAAGAGCTTGGCATAAACCGCATTGGGATGTGTGAACATTTGGTAGTGATAAGTGTGTGGTGTAACTTGTAGTTGGTTGAAACGGGAGCGCCATTGTATAGAGTGATGTGTTTGCGAAGGAAAGGCAAAGAGGCATGTAAGGTGAATAAGACTGACAGAAAAAATAGCGTGTGACTTGTCAATGTAGGGGGTGAAATGGACAAAGTGTGATAGTGCTGTGTGCAATGTTGTTAAAGATTGTAGGGTGTGATGTGTTGGTTGATGCAGCGCTTGTTGTACGAGTCAGGCTGCCAATGCCGAACCCGCGGCGACCAGTTGCTGTAGTGAACGTGGGGGAAGCTTGAGGACCCGAGCCAGCGGGATGCCGTAGCGGGTAGCTGCTTCTTGGAGTTGTTCTTTGGTGATATGTTCATCTCGCAGAATCTGCTGGATGTTGGTGACTTGTGTCTGAGTGGCTGGTGGTAATGTCTTGAGCCATTTCTGAATGCCAGCTGCTGCATAGTTGGCTGGTGAGTTGTCATGGAGTGTTTGTGTGGTGGGATTGAGAATGGTCGTGGTTGTGATGGCGGTAGGGGCTGGGAGTGGGAGATGCGGTGTGTGGGTGGCGGATGATGGGGTATAGTGTGACCCTGGCTTGGTTGGTGTGAGTGCAATGCCATGATTCTTCAGCTTGTCGCGAGCGCGCTGGAGTTCGCTCTCTTGTTGTTGTAAGCGATCTGTCTGTTGCTGGAGCTTTCGGAGTGCTGTGCCTTCGCCGGCTGGTGGTGTAAGGCCTCGTAGAAAGTCAATGATGCGAGAAATAAGTGGTTGCATGAATTGTTTGGCTTCTGTGGTTTTGTTTGGAATGGACTGATCTGCTTGTTGGTGCAAATATTCAGCGATGTTGTCGATGTCCAGGTTGTGGGCCCTCATCTCTGGCAGCAATTGTGAAGTGAAGACCGCCTCCGCGATAGATCTGGTGGTGACAATGCCTGTGTAGCGTCCTTGGGACAGGATGCGTAGGCTGTGGTCCTGGAGGCCAAAACGGCTGAGCTGCCATGGGAAAATGTCGAGGACTTGTTGTCCTGCGAGGTTGTATTTCCTGGACCATTGCGTCGGCTGAATTGTCCGAAACAATGTGTGACCATGTACGGTATTTGTATCCAAATGTGTGTCGCTGGGAGTCCATGTGTCAGGTAGGTTGGGGATGTTGGGGGGTACCACACCAAGCTGTGGAGGCGTTGGGTGGTGAGATGCTGCGGGTGGGGGCAGGGGTTCAGGTGGAAACGTTGCTGGTGGTGCTGGAGAGGCAGTGGGTGGATCAACTGGAATGTTGGCGTGATGTTGATGATGCTGGTGATAGGGGTGTTGGTAGTGATGACGAACTGCATTGGTGAGAGGTCCATAGCCGGCAGTGGGTGTCGTGGTGCTGCCATAGTACTGTTGCCACCATTGTTGATGCGCGTCCATGATGGGAAATACTGTAGTTCTGTACAAGAAGGAGCAATAAGCACAAGGGTAGTCGAAACTGATGGTTTGAACCACAATGGCTGAGAAGTTAAAAATTGAGACTGGAGAAAAGTCAAAATTGTGACTTGCAAAGTCGATCGAAGCTCAAGTGGCAAGCGTCAGAAAATCTCGAAGAGCAAAATAAGTATGAACATAGAATCAATACTGTAAATATTTTCTCATAGCTGGAAGGGTCAATACGCTGGAGGCATTGGGTCAGAAACCATGTACATAGAATCAAAGACCTCGAATTAGGTCTGGCGCTCTCTCACGGTGGCGCTCCAGCATCATCCCACCAGGGTCCCGGAGGTCCCGTGCCCGCTTCTGGATGATTGGGGCGTATGTTGGTGGGTGTCGGCAGGCAATAAATGGTAGGTGTGCTGTTGGATGGAGATGCGAGTGG